AAATTTTTTGTTCGTTTTTTTCCTTTTTGGTGGGGAGTACAGGGTATTTAAGAGTTGAGCTCGCTCGACTTTAGCATTGCTTTCTTGTGTTTTTTTTAATTTCTATAAATATTGTAAACATATGTACAGAGTATTTCAAAGTCGGGACACCCGACATTAGCTTTTTTATTTGTTTTTGTTTAATTTAATTAATTTAATTTGTTTTCAATCTTTTTTTTAAATTTTCTTTTTTTGTGGAGATCACAGGGTATTTTACCATCGGGCTTGTTCGACTGTAGCGTTCTCTCTTGTTTTTAATTATTCTACACATACATACATATGTACAGAGTGTTTAGAAATTGGAACACCCGCCTTTACCTTCTTCTATTAAAATACGTTTTTCGTATAAGTCTGAATTATAGATTAATTTTGAAACAAGAACGGAATGCTAGGGTCGAGTCGGCTCAACTCCTAAATAATCTGTACCCACTCCGACAAAAACAAAAAACCCATTATAAAATTATTTTTTGAATTACATTTTTCGAGATTTAATGAATAAAATAAATAAAATAACAATCATATAAATTAAATAACAAAATAAAAAATATCGTAAGTAAGTTAACTTTGTGATGGGGTCATTATGGGTATTTGTGGCTGGAGTTCTGGGGGGTGACGGTTTACTAATTAAGAATATGTACACTTTGTACTTTGTGTTATATACATTCGCACTAAGCCCAAAGGGTACAAGGGTATATTATTTAAAATAGTCTCCTGCTTCAATACAGCTTTTTGCACGATCCAAAATCATGTCGAACGAGTGTTTCAGCTCGTTGGCCGGTATCGCCGCCAGTATGCCGGTGCAAGCCTTTTGAATGGCTTCTACGTCTGCATAACTCTTTCCTTTCATGGGCAAATGCATTTTTCCGAAAAGGTAGAAGCCGCACGGTGCCGGTGCACGGTCAGGTGAATACGGCGAGTGGTTAATGGTTAAAATGTGATTTTTAGTCAAATAATCGGTCACAAGCGTCGATCGATGAGACGGATTCAGAGCAATTTTTGGTCGTCAGTCAATTTATGCGGAACAAACCGTGCACACACATTTCGTAATCTGAAATGTTCGGTCAAAATGCGATAAATCGATGTTTTGGAGATGTTCAATTCTATTTAATCAATTTCAATGATGATTTCGGCTGATTTTTGATGAATTCACGCACAGTTTCGATGGAATTTTCGGTGATCACGAATTTTGATTGGCGACCACGACCACTTAAAACGCAATAATTCACTTCCAATCGATGAAATGTCATGACAATCGATAAAGATAGCACATTCTAACGCACCAGTCGACATATAGATAGCGCCACCAGGGGGCACTAGATTCAACAAGAAAGGAATGCTAACGTCGAGCAGGCTCAACTCTTAAATACCCTGTACCACCCCACAAAAAAGTAATTAAATTAATTAATTAATTTAATTCAATTAATTAACTAAATTAATTTATTAATTTAATTCAATTAATTAACTAAATTAATTTAATTAATTAACTAAATTAAATATAAAATATTCCATGCATGCATACATACATTTACATTTACATCAGAATCGTGTCTATACGTGTTTGTGTACTTGTACATATGTATGTATGTGTGCATTCTGCCTGGTTATATGGCTATAACTTTCTTTCCGATCATTCTATCATAATGAAACTTGGTATACGGATATATAATCACTAACCTAATGTGACTACCAAATTTAAAATTCCAAGAATTACGAGAGTTATAGAAAATCGTTAATAGGGGGGGAGTGGGGGGGTGGATCAGAAAAAATGAACAAACTTTGGTTATTCTAGCTCTTATACTTTCGGAGATCCTTTCGTTCATACAGACAGACGGACAGACAGACGGACAGACAGACGGACATGGCTATATCGACTCGGCTTGTCATTCTGATCAAGAATATATATACTTTGTGGGGTCTACCAAGCCTCCTTCTGTGTGTTCCATGTGCACTCGCGCAAAACTAATATACCCTTGTACCCTTTGGGTACAGGGTATAAAAAGTCCTGTGCACTTTGGAACGCACCTTGTATATTCTTGATCACCATGCCAAGCCGAGTCGATATAGCCATGTCCGTCTGTCTGTCCGTCTGTCTGTCCATCTGTCTGGTATACAGATTCTCCTGAGCCCGAGAAAGGACGAGATTGTTCATTTTTCCCGATGCACCCCCCCCCCCCCCCCACTCCATCCCTATTCATGATTTTGTATAACTCCCGTAATTCTTGGAATTTTGAAATAATTTGAAAGACACATCCAGTTATCCGTATACCAAGTTTCATTATGATAGGGTGATTATAAAGAAAGTTATTGCCAAATAACCAGGCCCAATGCACACATACTTGTACATATATATGTACAAGTACACAAAGACGCATAGACACGATTCTGATGTAAATGTATGGAATATTTTATATTTAATTTTGTTAATTAATTAAATTAATTAATTAATTGAATATTTAATTTTGTTAATTAATTAAATTAATTAATTAATTGAATTAAATTAATTTTTTTTTGGGGGGGTGGTACAGGGTATTTAAGAGTTGAGCCGGCTCGACTTTAGCTTTCCTTTCTTGTTAATATTTTGATTTATTTTTAATTGTTTGTTAGTTTAAATTTTATTTACTTATTTTCGTTAGCGTTGCGACATAATTCAAAAATAGATCAGCAGATATCTAGCATCCATCTACGCTGCCGATGTTTTTTCTAAGGAGGAGTGAAATGAAATTCGAATAAGCTGTTCTGTCTATTGCCGCGGCCCTTACTTGAATGAATGAAAACATATGCGCATGATATGTTTATTCGCCGATTAGTTAATTAAAAACAACAATATGTACATATGTATGTGTGTATTCACACAGCCAATTTCGCCTAAACATAGTAAATTACTTGAAATCTTGTCCGTCAATGAGAAACCAGAAACCGTATAAAACCAGCCACAGCAGCTTCGGACAATATGCATTGTAACATTGTAACATTGTGTATGCACATCCCATGATACAAACAATCAGAGAATATAGATATTCTGTCAATCGAAACGTTGAAGAAACTCAAGACAAATGACAGAATGCACCCTCTATGCTTGTATCATTTGTTATACATTTAGTGGGTAAAGCTGTACAAGAACACACAAACGGGCAGGCGTACATCAGAAAGTTTTGTTATTTTAGCTCTCTTACTTCCTAAAATTCTTGCGTTCATACAGACAGTCATTCGCCCCCACCCCTGTGTGTTACATACGTTTGCATAAAATTAGAATACTTTTTTACCCTTTGGGTACAGGATACACAAATACACCAGCGTATACAAATGCTTTTGTACAGTTGCAATACAATGTACATATTTATATCGGGCTTGTTGCTTATGTGGCTTTTGGTGGCAGAGATTACACTTATGGCCATAACTTCCTTTAAAATTGGCCTATCATGATGAAACTTGACAAAGGGACACATAAGTATTAACTACAAGTATATATACCTGTACAGCGTACTCATATGTCTACAACATTTGGTGTTTTTAGTTCTTATAGTCTCTGAGATCCGGATGTTCATACGGACAGGCAGCCAGGGCTAGATTGACTCGTCTTGTCATGCTGATAAAGAACCTATACGGGGTGTGCCACGCCTCCTTCTGCCTGTTACATTTTCCACCTCCCGCAAATCCAATATACTCGTACTCTATATACTCTCTATACCCCGCGTTTTGCGGGGGAGAAGGGGGTGGGAGGGAAATTCCAAAATACACATTTTCTGCGTATTCACATAAGGCATCTTGGACTTTAAATTTGATATCCCTAGGTCATATAGTCTCTGAGATATAGGCGATTATACGAACGGCGTTACGGAAAAACCCTCATAGGGGGAAGTGGGGGGAAAATAAAAAAAATAAAACAAACTCGTATAGCGTACATACATAACGTGTTCATACGGACGGACAAACAGACAGACAGGGCTAGATCGACTCGTCTTGTCATGCTGATCAAGAGTATATATACTTTTTGGGGTCTGCCACGCCTCCTTCTGCCTGTTACATTTTTCACTTCCCGCAAACCAAACTTGGTATCCAAAGAAAGGACGAGTTTAATTCATCCCCCCCCACTCCCCGCAATTCATGTTTTTCATAACTCCTGTAATTCTTGGAATTTTGGCACGTGATTAGGGATTATGTGTACGTTTGATAAGTTTCATCATGATTGGTCAATTCTGAAGAAAGTTATAGCCATTAATAAAATCGCTGACCATAATTTGTATTTAATTAAATTAAATAATTTAATAACATTAATTTTTTAAAATTAATTAAAAATTTTTGTTCAGTTTTTCTTTTTTGGTGGGAAGTACAGGGTATTTAACAGTTGAGCCTGCTCGACTTTAGCATTCCTTTCTTGTTTGAATCTCGACACAACCGAAGCCTCAAAAAAACCGTCTAAGAATTAAATCGACAAAGAACAGATTTTGAAGAGAAAGAGTGATGAACATTACACAACCCAACACAACCCGGTCGACGAAAAGTATCTTAAATATGCCATATTCTTACAAAATCGTAATATTTTTTGTTTATTCAATTAACTGAACATTACTTTTATATTTGCTCTATTATTAACAGGTTAAGGGCACGATGTAGGTAATATTAACTAAGTTAATTATTGTAATTAACCATTATCAAACGTTCATTATAAAGTATATGTAGCCAATTTTAACAATGATACAGAGAAAAATATAATGTGACTTTTTGAAGAAGAAAACTATTGAAGCCGGGCGTAATTCTCTGGTATTATATTATGGCCGGTCTGAAGAAAACTAATTTTAAACAATTGTATGCGCCATCATTTACCTTTATCAACAGCAATGCTGGGACATATGTAAGTATGTATAAACAACGCCATAGGAACTGTTTTTTAGTAGGTACTAGTTTTCACAAATAAGTAAAATTGTTAAATTTGTATTCTAAAATATAAAGATGTGTGATAGTTGTAGAGCAACATTAACCAGTGGGCATTGGAGGGGTTGGACCCACCTTTACCCTTCAAAATGATGTTATTGAATTAATATATTAAATAAAACACATTCTTTCGATCAATAATGAAAACATTTGGAAGATAAAATTAAAACGTATGACTAATGCTTCGTAGTATCTTCTAAACAGAGGCAATCTTAACGCGAAATATTTCTTAGTGTCTTCTCCACATTTCTGTAAGTGCGCGGCGGAATTGTTTCCAGAAGTAAACGTTGGTAACTATCGTGCTGGGATAAGGCTTGAAATAGCGACTTGGCATAGCTACGCGTCTCTAAACTGCCCTCGAGCAGTAGGTTTGCTCCCACGATGAAAAATTTGTCTCGGCTCTCACGATTCATGGCATAGACACGATCACTGCCCAGGCGCTCCACCAACCTGAATAAAAGTTTTGCAGAAGCTGTACGTACCAATGCATTCTGGTGTTGAGCGCCCTTCATAGTCAATATGTTTATCACTTTGGGAGGTTGTACATTGTCCACCATTGATTCTAGTGCTCGAGTGGCATCGGCGCGAAGAAAGCGATTCGTGTCGGCAGTGCGATGCAGCAGAGCACAGACCAGATCATCGCACTCAACCTCCAAGGATTTGGACTTGATGGCAAACAGCTCAGCTGCAGCTTGACAAGCGGCACGTGCAACCTGTGAGCGCAAATTACGCACAGAACGTGTCAGTTGAATAGATGTCATGTGCATGTGCTGTTCCAGATATTCTCCATGGTAACGCATCAGGCACACAATGGACTTTAAGCCGGCCATATTAACTTCCCAGTTGCGAGAGTCTAGCTGATCGAAAGTCTTCAGTAGAGCTTCGCGTGGCTTTTCAAATCGCGTCATATTCTGCGGAAACAGATCTGCCTGGGAAATCTTGATTGCTTGCTTAACTGGCGAAACACGGCGCTTGTGACGTAACAAATATAAGGTCTTTGATTTTTGTTGGAGTGACGAGTGCTTTGCCGACAAACTGCTGTTCCCTAATTGCGAGCCAGACTGTGAGCTGTTGTCTGTTGTGCTGGTGTCCAGCGATTCTTGCTTTCGGGTGCCATAAAAAGAGTCCAGCGAGACGCTTCGCGAGTTTCGAAACAAATTATCATTCGAACAGTTCGCACTCCCTTGGTTTTCGTTTGCAACGGTCAGTGGCTCCACATTGTGACCCTTTGAATCCTGCAACATTTTACCGGGCGACAAATCTATAGCCGCTGACTCCACCTCATGCTGAAGCCTCTCAACTACTACAAAGCTATTGCTATCCTCGATTTCCTCTTCAATAGCAAGCGATTTCATGGACTGAGCGCGTGAAAGCTGAGGTGTTCCGTCCTCCAGTTGGGTCTTAATGCTTTCCGACTTGCTATGTAAGCTTGTGATGCTTTCATTTCGCGTCAGATTTGACTCTCCCATGGTAGGATCCTTGGCAACAAAATCTTTTATTATGAGCTCATTAATCGATTCGGCTATAGTAGTGCTTTCGTCGGTCGGTCCGTTATCAGTAAGGGATGGACAGCTTGCGGGTGGTTTACTTATCTCATTGCTTGTGTTTGATTTTGCCGAGGCAGTAGACTTCTGTGAATAACTAAAAGACTTAAATGAGAGAGGCGAGCCGTCGTCGTGGTCATTCGTTTGTAGTGGTTCATTTGCTTCTGTGTGAGCGATTTCTTCTACAGCTATTATCGGTTCGTTTTGGAAAATGCCTTCCGACCTGTAAAATAAATTATAGTTGTTTTTAAATATTTTCGAAAACTTTAAGAAATAAATAATAATAATATTAATTTTGATTATGATTATGATGTAAAGCCCCATGTTACAACTCACGCAATTATTTTGGAGCCACCGTCAGCATGATGTTCAGAGAGTTCGCACATATTTACTATTGTCGACGACTCCACAAACAGAACTGTCGAATTTTCGGTGATATCTTTTTTATTTTTATCAATTTTCATCGATTTTCTTCGCCGTCGTTTTATGCTTATTGGCCGTTCAAACAGAGAAAAACCTAAACATATACGCAGGTTGCGACCACAACACAGGCCTTGCCTTAGTGCTAATCTCATTGTTATCCACTTTTCCTGCAGCACTCTGAGCGAAATGCGCAACAAATTCGCAAGAAGTGTTTTAAAGCGATATACATTTTCCATTTTTCCAATTAATACTTATTTAAATGATTGCTTTGCAACTATTTTGAACAATTTTAAGGCCCGCAACTTCGTTGGCAGATGGTGGTCTCACTGAAGGCAATGCCGATACTATTCGTGCATATACACGTATATGTACATATACCTATGACATACCTATGACACTACATTTTCATATCATTAATATACAATACTAACATGCGAAAGTTTCAAACGAAAATGTACAATGAACAGCGACACGCACATGCACTTGCACACTCAGACGTTGAACCGACTAGCATTTACATATGTATGTATGTATGTATTGTTTTACACTTATATAGAAAAGCTGGCCACTGGTCTAACATTAGTATTAGCCGCAATACTTGTAAGAGTTTGTATTTTACAAACGAAAGCTTTCTTAGTCACACTCGGCTTTCTTCGTATATTGGCGAAGGCGGCCGGCGAACGGGAATACAATTGGTGGCACCTGTGCGGCAAAGCTCAGCTGTAAGTCCTTTGTTAAAATACGAAGGTATACTTGTATTTTTTTTGGCATATGAATGCCTGCATATACCTATGTACGCAAACTTAAATGTTTACTACACTTCCTTTAAGATAAAAGGGTATCTTGTGATCGGATGCGACGTGAGTGTATTCAAAACAGGCTTCATCCAACGGCAGTGTGGTTTGAACCACTATTCCTTTCGAGGAGAACGATTTCAAAAACAGGCATTTGGATTAACACAAAATGTATACAGAAATGGATTGGGCTAACTCTGAAATAGCCTGATCCCACTCTGCCAGCAGCTATTGTTGTTGTTGCTGCTTTGGCTCAACTCTGCACCTCTTAGTTGTACACACATACATACACATAGCCACATAGAGTGGGTATTTAAGAGTTGGGCCTGCTCGTCTCTAGCATTCAGTTTATTTACGCATTTACCCTAAAGGGAGAATTTGGTGTGTTTGGTTTTAGTACAACTATTGAATACTTTGGTTACATTTTCTATGTATTCGTGCGGACGGTCAGGGGGATATTCGATTCGTCCAGAGTCCGTATAACGTCTACTTCTGCCTCATACATACCTTTAGCATTTATACTTTCTAATAACCCTTTCACCCTTGGGGTAGAGGGCACACCGGCTTTTCATACCCTGTACCCAAAGAGCAAAAGGGTATACTAGTTTAGTGCGAATGTATGTAACACTCAGAAGGATGTGTGGTATATATATTATTGATCAGTATGACAAGACGAGTCGGTATATTTCAATTTGACAGGAAGTTATAGCCATAAATGTAATCTCTGCCCAAACTCTACCTGCAGCTTTGTTGGTGCTGCTGACACGATTCTGAAGCTATACATATGTAAACAAATGTCTCCACTTATGTTTGTATGTATAGAATAGTTTGTATGTAATTTAATTAATTTTTTTTTTTAACAATTCTTAAATTTTTATAGTCTGTACCCAAAGGGTAAAACGCTATATTAGTTTTGTGTGAATGTATATAATACACAGAAGGGGGCGTGGCAGACCCCACAAAGTATATATATTATTGTAAATATATTATTGATCAGGATGACAAGTCGAGTCGATATAGCCATGTCCGTCTGTCCGTCCGTCCATCTGTATGAAAGCAAGGATCTCAGCAAGTACAAGAGCAAGAATAACCAAACTTGGTATCCAGATGCTCTCCATGTACTCTGTACATGAAATGTACAAGAGTATATTAGGTTTGCGCGAGCTGAAAAATGTAACAGGCAGAAGGAGGCGTGGCAGACCCCACAAAGTATATATACAAGGTGTGTTCCAAAGTAAACAGGACATTAAAAAAAAAACAGAACAAATGGTTTCTTCGGCCAAATCAATTTATTTTATTCAAAATAGTCTCCTTTTTGCACGATCCAAAAGCATGTCGAACGAGTGTTTTAGCTCGTTGGCCGGTATCGCCGCCAGTATGCCGGTGCAAGCCTTTTGAATGGCCTCTACGTCTGCATAACTCTTTCCTTTCATGGGCAAATGCATTTTTCCGAAAAGTTAGAAGTCGCACGGTGCCATATCAGGTGAATACGGCGAGTGGTTAATGGTTAAAATGTGATTTTTGGTCAAATAATCGGCCTTCGAATGTTGGATTCTGAGTAATTTTTGGTCGTCAGTCAATTTGTGCGGAACAAACCGTGCACACACCTTTCTTAAGCGCAAATGTTCGGTCAAAATGCGATAAATCGATGTTTTGGAGATGTTCAATTCCATTTCAATCAATTTCAATGATGATTTCGGCTGATTTTTGAAAACGTTGAAACAACTCGTGCACTCTGCTACGGGATAGGCAATCATCGTCATAAACTTGTTCCATCAATTAAAACTTTTCGGTAAAAGTTTTACCAATTTTAAATCAAAATTTAATGTTGGCTCTTTGTTCAAAGCTCATTTTCGCACCGATAACACAAACATACTGACTCTTAAAACGCAATAACTTCACTTCCAGTCTATGAAATGTCATGAAATTCTCACTGGACAATCGATTAAGATAGCAGATTCTAACGCTCCAGTCGACATATAGATAGCGCCTCCAGGGGGCACTAGATTCAAAAAGTCCTGTTTACTTTGGAATGCACCTTGTATTCTTGATCGGCATGACAAGACGAGTCGATCTATGTCTGTCTGTCTGTCCGTATGAACACCTCGATCTCAGAGACTATAAGAGTTAGAGACACCAAAATTCGTATAATCGCCTATATCTCGGAGACAATAAGACCTAGACACACAAAATTTTGGTTCAAGATGCACTATGTGCCATAAATATAATTGTTGCCCAGGGGCTGCCCGCAACTGTTGATGATGTTGGTGCTTTGGTTGACTGCAAACATGATCACACAGACACGAATAGACATGCATACACTCACATAGACGCAATTGCTATGTAAATGTGCAATTATACACCCTTTACACGGGACACCCGCCTTTAGCTTCTCTACTTGTTTTTTTAGAAATTCAATTACGAAGGTTAAGTACTTTTTACTTAAACATTAAACAATTGGTACTTAAACAATTTGGTATAACGTACCGGATAAGTATATTGATATGTTTCTTTATAAACTTACCTTAATTCCATACCGCTTTTGTGCTCCTCAAATATCCTAAATGGCTTCAGTTTGTTATCTGTGGAACATAGGTTTATCGTTATCGAGGGACTGCAGTAATTACTTATAATAAAATATAAGGAAACAATTTTGGACATAACTATAGTAAATAAATAATAAATAAATTGTAGTCAAGAAAAAATGGAGGTATATACGGCTGTCTACTACATGCAATACTTATCATCAGTTCGACAGCTTTAACGAAGGAGTAATGATTAAGACAAATGAATTTGATATCACTGTTTTGCAAAATGATAGCATAGCATCTACCATGTTTCCTTCCGTACAACAAACTTTAATAGTACCGATATTATACGCTTTCACTTAAAGTGCGGGATAAATTTTAAAATTTAACAAAATAAATAAAGACAAGTAAAAAAGCTAAAGTCGGGTGTCCCGACTTTGAAATACTCTGTACATACAAGTATGTTTAGAATAATTATAGAAATTAAAAAAGTAAGAGAATTAAAAAAAAAAAATTTGATCGATTTTAGCTCTTTTGGTATTCGAACTCACGTAAAGGGTGTATAATTGCACATATACAAAGCAATTGGGTCTATGTGAGTGTATGAATGTTTATGCGCGTCTATTTATGTCTGTGTAAGCATTTTCGCAGTCAACCAAACAGCAACATCAACAACAGCCGCGGGCAGCGCTTGAGCAGCGCTGCAGCAGCAAATATATTTATGGCTATAACTTCTTGTTAAATCGGTCTATATACATAGTGAAACTTGGCATACGGACACATAATAACTAACTGGGGGTATTTCCAAAATTTTAGTTCGAAATTCCAAGAATTACGGGAGTTAGAGAAAATCGCGATTTGCTTGGGAGAGGGGGGAGGGAGGGAAATTCCAAAATACACATTTTCTAAGGCATCTGGGACTAAAATTTGGTGTCCGTAGGTCTTATAGTCTCTTAGATATAGGCGGTTATACGAATGGAAAATCGGGAAAACCCCCATAGGGGGGAAGTGGGGGGGAAAATCAAAAAAATAAAACAAACTTGCACAGCGTACACATATAACGCATATTTGTGCAAAATTTGGTGTCTCTATCTCTTATAGTCTCTGAGATCCAGGTGTTCATACGGACGGACAGACTGACAGACGGACAGACAGACAGACAGGGCTATATCGATTCGTCTCGTCATGCTGATCAAGAATATATATACTTTGTGGGGTCTGCCACGCCTCCTTCTGCCTGTTACATTTTCAGCTCCCGCAAACGTAATATACTCTTGTACATTTTATGTACAGAGTATAACAAGAGAGAACGCTACAGTCAAGCAAGCCCGACAGTAAAACAGTCTGTACTCTCCACAAAAAAAGAAAAATTAAAGCAAAAAAAAAAAAAAAAAAAATTTAATTATCAAAAAATTAATTAATTGAATTAATTAATTAAATCAATAAATAAAATGTATTTAATACATACATAGAAGACATGTTTATGTACAGTTTTAAAAGCATACATTTACATCATCGTGTCTATGCGTGTATGTATACAGCACAAAGTTGAACCAAAGCAGCAACAACAACAACAGCTTCGGACAGCGCTGCTGGCAGAGCTGCAGGCAGCGCATGGCCAGCGATTTTATTTATTGATCAGTATGACAAGACGAGTCGATATAGCCATGCCGTCAGTCCATCTGTATGAGCGCAAGGATATCAGAAGGTACAAGAGCTAGAATTACCAAACTTGGTATCTAGGTTCCCCTAAGCCCCAGGCAGATCAAGTTTGTCTTTGTTTTGTTAGTGTTTATGTGTCCGTATGCTAAGTTTCATTATGAAAGGTCAATTTGGAAGGAAATGATAGACATACATACATACACGCATATAAACACGCATAGATACGATTCTGATTTTGATAATGTATTTGTATTCTAGAAGTTCCAAATATCAGATGTGATCTAACATGGCTTGAATTGCTTGTTCTCAAAATATAAAAGGCGACATGCGTATTGATAATGATGAAACCAAAAATCAATATTAAATAAAAACAAAAGTTTTAGACTTGGTATTAATAAAAAACAAGTAAAAAAGCTAAAGTCGGGTGTCCCGACTTTGAAATACTCTGCACATATGTTTACAATAATTATAGAAAATAAAAAAAATTAAGAAAATAAAAAAAAATTTGATCGGTATTCGAACTCACGTAAAGGGTGTATAATTGCACATTTACATAGCAATTGCGTCTGTGTGAGTGTATGTATGCCTATGCGCATCTATTCGTGTCTGTGTAAGCATTTTCGCAGTCAACCAAACAGCAACATCAACAACAGCCGCGGGCAGCGCTGCATCAGCAAATATATTTATGGCTATAACTTCTTGTTAAATCGGTCTATCATAATGAAATTTGGCATACGGACACATAATAACCAACTGGGGGTATTTCCAAAATTTTAGTTCGAAATTCCAAGAATTACGGGAGTTACGATTTGCGGGGTAGAGGGGGGAGGGAGGGGAATTCCAAAATATACATTTTCTGCGTATGCACATAAGGCATCTGGGACTAAAATTTGGTGTTCCTAGGTCTTATAGTCTCCGAGATATAGGCGATTATACGAATGGAAAATCGGGAAAACCCCCATAGGGGGGAAGTGGGGGGGAAAATCAAAAAAATAAAACAAACTCGTATAGAATACACACATAACGCATCTTTGTGCAAAATTTGGTGTCTCTATCTCTTATAGTCTCTGAGATCCAGGTGTTCATACGGACGGACAGACGGACAGACAGACAGACAGGGCTAGATCGACTCGTCTTGTCACGCTGATCAATAATATATATACTTTGTGGGGTCTGCCACGCCTCCTTCTGCCTGTTACATTTTTCAGCTCCCGCAAACCTAATATACTCTTGTACATTTCATGTACAGAGTATAAATACGGGAGTTATGGAAAATCGCTAATTGCGGGGGAGAGCTCTAGCTCTTATAGTCTCTGAGATTTGGGAGATTATACGAATGAAAAATCGGGAAATCCCCCATAGGGAGAAGTGGAGGGAAATTAAAAAAATAAAATAAACTTGCACAGCGTATACACATAAGGCATCTTTGTGCAAAGTTTGGTGTCCCTAGCTGTTATAGTCTCTGAGATCCCGGTGTTCATATGGACGGACGGACGGACAGAGATCGACTCGTCTTGTCATGCTGATCAAAAAGATATATATTTTGTGGCCTCCTTCTGCCTGTTACATTTTCAGCTCGCGCAAACCTAATATACTCTTGTACATTTCATGTACAGAGTATAAACAAGGGGTACTTACTTCCTGAATCATAGTTCATATGGTTCGCTTGACAGTTGTGCTTAAGCTTTCTAAGGGCATTTGGGTGGGTTTTAGTTTTGTTAGAACCAAACTTTGGGTAGCAATCCACATCAATGTTCGCTCGATCTTCAAATCCAAATTGTTGAGGCACACGCTGTGCATTGCCGAGGGAATTAATTACATCCAACTGTTGGTGCTTCAAAGCTGGAAATCTTTTTGCAACGTATTAGCAAATAAATTGCATTATTATGTATATCCTCTTACCGGGAACTTTGTCTGTTGGGGCACAAATTTCTGGAGGTTAATTGCGTAAAACTGTCACTTCCACTGCTACAGGTTGTTGCTGTGCTATCGGTATCTGTGCAAGCCTTGGCTAGCATGCGACCATCTGAGATTGACAAAATATCACTTATGTTTACCAAAAATTAACTTAAAATGCCTTACCGTTGGACTTTTTGAATTGATAGCTTGGGAAATGTAAAGAGTCCTGAAAAGGAAACATAACAAAATTAATCATAAATTAAATATGATATTAACACTTTTCTGTACCAAAGTAGGTACTAGGCGTACGTACCATATTATTGGCCAAAGTTTCAGGTGGCGAATGAAAGGAATGGCTTTGTAGAATTTCATCCAAGGGACGGCTGTGTGTACCAATTAGATGAATAGCAATAGCATTATTATACTGGACATTTTTATACTCTGTACATGAAATGTACAAGGGTATATTAGGTTTGCGAGAGCTGAAAAATGTAACAGGCAGAAGGAGGAAGACCCCACAAAGAATATATATTCTCTATCAACGTGACAAGACGAGTCGATCTAGCCCTGTCTGTCTGTCTGTCCGTCCGTATGAACACCTGGATCTCAGAGACTATAAGAGATAGAGACACCAAATTTTGCACAAAGATGCCTTATGTGTGTACGCTATACGAGTTTGTTTTATTTTTTGGATTTTCCCTCCACTTCCCTCCTATGGGGCTTTTCCCGATTTTCCATTTGTATAATCGCCCATATCTCGGACACTATAAAAGCTATGGACACCAAATTTTAGTCCCACATGCCTTATGTGAATACGTAGAAATATTTTGGAATTTCCCTCCCTTCTCCCTCTCCCCCGCAATTAGTGTTTTCCATAATTCCTGTGTTTCTTGGAATTTTTTATTGAAATTCGGAAAATACGTCCAGTAAGTGATTATTTTAACAGGAAGTTATAGCCATATATGTATGTATGACCAAGCAGCGCCCGCAGCTGTTGTTGTTTTTACTGCTTAGCACAGGCACACGAGACATACACAGACACACACATACACCCATAATTATTCTACACATATGTACAGAGTATTTCAAAATCGGGACACCCGACTTTAGCTTATCTACTTGTTAAATTTATATTTCTGACCATACCTGTTTTCTGGCGTGTTTTTCAATGAATTTCCATTGAGTGCACACGGTTTGTCGGCGTAACGCCTTGGACGTTTTCGAATGGCATTGGGGGAGGCAGAACTCTCGCCTTGCATAATCCAATCTACATCGGCTCCATAACGTTCATTATTGCTGTGATCGACGGAATATAACACTGAATCATCTCCAGTAACGCTGGTAGTCTGACGACGCGACAATCTCGATTTTATGGCCGCCAGTAATGAGGAACTGACTTCGTTATCGTCTAGTACATCAGCGACAATCGCTAGTATTTGATCACCTGAGGATATACCTGCAAGCACAGTAAGCACCTCAAGGGCTGCTTGCCGTACGCGTCGCTTGCGATTAAGTAATGAGTGTACTGCTTGTGCAGTAAGATTTTTAATATCGAAGCATGTCCTGGGAGAAGTCCTCAAAGCGAAAATGGACATTTGTAAGGCATTTTTGCGGAACTGTTCGAAAACATAAAAACTAATGTTAGACATTCCTCTAATGCGGCTTCGATGGGTGGTACTACCTTGGAGCTTTTGCCATGCAATAACTCGGGAGATGTTAGTTTGGTTACAATAGTTCCCGCCGGCAGGCGCTGCATTAATGCCTTGCACACCCGATTCGCTCCAGCATTGTCCTGTCTACATAGTCCAGTTATTATTTGGAGTGTACGATCCTCCAAGTTATCGAGTGGTAGCCGCGAAATAAGATTTGAGAGTACTCCTCTTTTTTCATTGGCTACTTCATGGTGGCGCTCTGAGGAAAGCAGGGTCCGAAGTACGCTTTCTAAGTAGGGCAGTACCAATGCCAATGTACTCGAAGACTGGAGCGACAGTTCCAGCTCAGTAATTGCCTTCAAGCGGTTGCGCCAGTCCTGGACGACAGGTGAGTTAATTGAGTTTTATTGGTAACAGTTTTTATTTAGGACATCTCAGTAATTGAGACCCTCCCAGAAATATTGTGAAAAATAGCAACGAAGAAAGACCTCTATTGCTCTCCATCATTTTCCTACCTTCACACTACCGCTTTCTCCCATTATACGTTGTGTTATATTTGGTATGCTCCATACTTTTGATTATTGTTTTATTATTTTTGTGCTTTTGCTGACCCAGTTCTTGTCCCACTTTGAAATTGGTCTCTGTCGCTGCTAAGTTTAATCTCTCAACCCCATATAAAGTTACTTACTATTATATTACGACACGATAAGCCTGTGTGTGAATTGCTGCTGTACTATGACTATCGCGTGCACCTTAATGATTGACCGGCCCGGGCACAGCAAATTTATGTATAGTACGAATACATACTCGTACGTATGTAAAAAAGCTACCAAATATAGCACAGAATACGACTTATATATGTATATAACAACTTTTACAATGAGTATATAGCATCAGATAGTTATGATTTAAACAGCGGGTTTTTAATTTAAATATGAAGTATTCAAAATAGTATGATTTATTAAAATGCAAAGAGACGTATGATGCACAAATCATCATTGCATTGCAATATATATATATATATATATATATATATATATATATATATATATATATATATATATATATATATATATATATATATATATATATATATATATCTAGAGCGCAGATTTTAAGGTTTTAAAGATGCTATCATGTTTTATACAAACGCGTGTCGTAGTGGTATGGAAACATGTGCGTGCAGTTGACAGGAAGCTATTTTTAAAAATGCATAAAAAGTGACGCCCAGGGTCGAAGAATGTATGCAAGCAGATATGAGTAATGTATATATTAATGCGTGTCATGTCACTAATAAAGTAAGGTGATTTTATGAAGGAAAAATATTAACGCATACGAAATTGTACACCTATATTCTAGTGACCCAGTTATGTCGATAGTGGTAGATTTACATCTAGGGGTAACATACATTAAGAGTTTTGTGTGTTTTTTTTATGTGACTTTGTAGGTGCGTGTAGGTTTAGCTTCCAATTAGGCCAAATAGTATTCAAACTATGGTTGACATAGCAAGAAGAAAATTTAAGCGCACAACTTACCCCAGAACGGAGATTCATTATAGTTTTATAGCCAACAATATCAAGATCTTCCCAAGTTTTTGGTGAAACAAATGACTCTATAGATGCACTGGAGAGCAGTTTGTTCTCGGTGTTAACCAAACCACTATCTTCACTTGCGTTACGTTGCAGGAGCCGTGGCGAAGGGTCTCGCTGGAGATTATGCAAAACCTCAATTTGCTTGTGCGGCACCTTAGGACTGATATTAACTGGGCCTGTTGGGCTGCGATGGGCGGACGTGAAGAGGGATTGGCTCAAGTTGGAGTCCTGTCTTTTTATTAAGTTATTGTTTGACATTAACTGTTGTTTTTCATTGCCTTCACTTCCATTGTGCTCTGGAGTCGAAAGTTTATTACCAGAACATATTAAAGGTTTCGTATTATCGCTAGGTATGTCAAGGTGGAGTGGAATATTTAGAACTTGGGCCGCCTTTTCAGGAGAATTTATTGGAGTGGGCATGGGTTGCGTATAGTGAGTAGTAAAATTGATCTTTTCAGAACTGGGGTGAGCCTGTGCAACTGTATTGTTGCTATTCGAGTTGCCGGTCAAGGAAGGTACATCGCTGTCAGGTGTTCGCATTTTAACCACCTCCCCTCCAAAAGTTACTCGCTTCAATGCACGCGTTGGTGTGTTAGGCGCGGTAAGCGGGTTTGATGGATAATTAGCCAGCTCCTCAACATCTGAGTCACTTATTATCTGCAATATGCTCGAGCTTAGCTCACTCTGAGAGTTTCCGCTTTTGTGGCAGCTAGGTAAAGTAAGCATCGGACTATCGAGCCTCTCGGTTTCGGTGTCGGCCTCGAGTATACGCATGGTCAACGTGTCGTCATTTATTTTGATTTCGGTTTCCATAATGACTTTGCCCCTGTCCGGGAGCATGACCGGCATCAGTTGATTCGTCACTTCCTGGCCAATTGGCCAGTAGGTCTCACGCGGAAGTGCTCGCCATGCGCCAGCTTTTGCACCGACTCCGTATAATTTGCAAAGCTGCAAGTATTGTGTGATGGCATTGCCTTTACCCACCTTAGTCATGTGTTCCTCAAATTCAGTTACTCCCAAGAGCTCGTTTAATTTGTTCAATACCTTTATAGTGATTTCTTGCAGTTTTAATTGGCCCATTCGCAATACTAGGCGGTCCATAATATGCTGTACTATAATTTGTCGCTGAGGTCTGCGCAAAATCGATTGAAGTAACGCTGGAATGGATAATAATACACCGCAGCTTAAGCGCCCGTAGGAATCGTTTTGCGATTGTTGGTCGAAGCCGCTTTCTAATATGTGCAGCATCACTGTTTCAGGTATGGACGTCTCGGCGAGATAGACACGCAGACAGTCAAGTGCTCCTTTTCGGACAGTGGGGGCCTGATGCCCCAGATTATCTACCAGAAGCGTTGTCAGCTGTTCCATATGACTGTCTGCATCGGCCCGCATCACGACAAGCACGTCGACAAGGACTCGGAGGGCATGTTGACGCACTTGCCATTCCGGATCTCGCAAGCGCTCATAAAATTCATTGTATATGCTCGCTAGACCTATTGCTTCGGGAAGACGACGGGTACGTAAAATGTGCTCCCACAATGGTGTGAGTTGCACTGTGCCCGTAGATAACACGGCTCGACGTGGGGGCTTATTCACGATTTCAGTGTTGATATTAGAATGGTTATTGTTATTGTCCTTATCATCGGAGCTGCATGATAATCGCATGTCATATAAGTTTTCACCTTGTCTGTAGTTAGGCAGTGCACTTCTGTTTTCAATCATCACATTCGTCGTTGGGGTTGCACTGTTGGTGTTCACTTTGCGTTCCAAAATTTGCCGAAGGAACATTACTAGTACGTCATTTGTCCTCTTTTACTGTAATTATCTAACTGGTAATATGCTATAACAATTATTGACACTTAATTGTAATATTCATTGGTCACGCACGCTCTCATCCGCTTAAGTCGGTCTGGTTATGGCCGTGAATTTGGCTCAATATTCAAATTTAGTTCAGAATCTGACAAGTTTCGACTAACGACTGTAAACGTTCTTAGATTGTTGTTCAGTTTTGTAGGGAATGTAGACGGTCGCGTGCCTAACCGAGCAATTGCTTTGGAGGCGATTTCACAACAAATACAGTGCGCATGTCATTTACCGCGCTGGAATAGTGTACGAAGATTGGGGTGTTTGTGTTAAGTGTTGTACAACATTTCATTTTACTAAATTTTTGGCTGACAGGATATTATGTGCACATAATATCCTATATTGTGATACAATTCGACACTAGTCAAGTCAGATACATACGCCTAAAATGAAAAATGTAACAGGCAGAAGGAGGCATGGCAGACCCCACAAAGTATATATATTCTTGATCATCATGACAAGACGAGTCGATCTAGCCCTGTCTGCCTGTCCGTCCGTATGAACACCTGGATCTCAGAGACTATAAGAGCTAGATACATACGCATAGAGGATTGTTTTAACGGTTTTTGTACCCTGTACCCAAAGGGCAAAAGGGTATATTACATGGAACACGTAGGTAGGTATTTATATATCTGTATACCAAGTTTCATTATGATAGGTTGATCAGAAAGAAAGTTATAGCCATATAACCAGGCCCAACGCACACATACATACATATGTACAAATACGCAAACACGCATAGACACGATTCTGATTGAAATGTATGTATGTAATTAATTAAATTAATTTAATTTAATTAATTAATTAATTATACAAGTATTTCTTTTTTTTTTGGGGTGATATAGGGTATTTAAGAGTTGAGTCTGCTCGACTTTAGCATTCCTTTCTTGTTATAGCCTGTACCCAAAGGGTGAAAGGCTATACTAGTTTTGTGCGAATGTATGTAACACACAGAAGGAGGCGTGGCAGACCCCACAAAGTATATATATTCTTGATCAGGGTGACAAGCCGAGTCGATTTAGCCATGTCCGTCCGTCCGTCCGTCTGTATGAGAGAAAGGATCTCAGAAGGTACAAGAACTAAAATTACCAAACTAGGTATCCAGGTTCCCTTAAGCCCTAGGCAGCTCAAGTTTATGTTTTTATTCTGATACACCCACCCCACTACCCGCAATTCGGTTTTTTTTATAACATCCGTAATTCTTGGAATTTTGAAATCAGTTTTAGTAGTTACGTCCAGTTAGTGCTTATGTGTCCGTATGCCAAGTTTCATCATGATAGGTCAATTCTGAAGAAAGTTATAGCCATAAATAAAATCGCTGCCCATGTTCTGCTTGCAGCTCCGCCCGTAGCTGTTGTTGATACTGTTGTTTTGGTTTACTGCAAACATGATTGCACGCGCATAGACATACATACATTCACATAGACGCAATTGCTATGTAAATGCGCAATTATACACCCTTTACGTGAGCTCGAATACCGAAAGAGGTAAAATCGATCAAAATTTTTTTTAAATTTTTTTAATTTCTATAATTATTCTAAAGATATGTGCAGAGTATTGCAAAGTCGGGACACCCGACTTTAGCTGTTTGCCTTACAATTAGTGGTCCAGAAGCCAGGAACCCAATAGTGGTTAGTTAATCAATCATGTACAAATCATGATCAAAACATTTTGCAAAAACGAATATTATTATATTGTGCTTCGCATGTTTTCCTGAAATATCCTGAAATTTATTTGAACAATATGCAAATAGTTAGAAAATTGAATAAGGGTTTTAAGCTTGCTATTGGTCTAATATTTTATTTTCATTTAATAATTCTCTCCGGAGTTGACGATTAGTAAAGCTTTGTTATAACAAATATAAAAGTACATTTAAATGCGTTACATTTACAATTTACTTAAATGGCAATAAATATAGAAAATATATTGGCGATGTAGAATACATACTTATCAAATACTTCTGCTATTACTATGCTTTTACAAAATTTCGATTACATTTTAATATTTAAATACTTATTACTAAGATACATTTACTCGTATATTTGTTTTCGAAAATCAGTCATATTAGGTTTTGTATGTAAAGAAGACTAAATGTGCTGTACAGATAGACATTTTAATGGAGCTCGTCCAAAAACTGCAGCTTTCACTTAAAGGCAAAACAAATGTTACAAAAAAATGTTTTTAATTTTGTTTCATTCAGCTTTTAAAGGTATTTAGTAAACAGGTTTTTAGATAGAGGTTTCACAGTATAATGATAACAATAAAGAATGCACAGCCTTGATACAAGGCGGTAAAAGTAGAGTATTGTGACGTAGTAACCAATTGGAAAATTTATATAAATATGTCAAGCATATATGCTAAGTTTTTACAGTAAATTGATTAATTAAATGGCGCGGTTAACACTAAAGTAGAATTAAATATACCAGCAACTTTTTCACACATATTCTTCTGGTGTTTTTTGCGCGTTAGGTGGTCGAATTGTAGATGGTGTTTGTTGCTGCTGCTGGCTAGCTGTTTCAGAAAGCTCTGTTATATCTTTAAAAACACCCATTAAATTTTCATAACTAGGCCCCCAATTAATAAAATATTCCCACCCCAAATTGGTTTCTGGCGGTGAAGCTGCCACATTGGCCTTGCGGTATATGCCGTTCAAATGATTTGCCAACTCGTCATCACTGGCTACGAGGGTGCTTAGAGAGCCTCGAAACGACGAATCAAATCCATCATAGGAGTGTGGTGGTGCGGGTGGTGTTTTCCCAACATTGGAGTTGCGTGCCGGATCGTTCGGCATAGCACGTCCTGCTGGGCTGCAACCATCCAGGATGCTCTTGCTTGTGGAGTACTTACCGTCTCCACTTAAGCTGTTGTTATCGTATTCAATCTCAGAGCAAGTAAAGCTATCATTTCCACTCTCATCAGTGGAGCTAGAGCTGTGTGCGTCCACATCAGTACTGTGTAGGCCGCTCCCCAAGGATAAATGAAGAGCTCCATTCGACACACGTGGTGCTTCGCTGCTTAAGGATACGGCATCCAGCGTTGAAACCAAGCTGGATGTGCGGGGTCGCGTATTGAGCCGCTCTATTTCTTCTGCTGTTAAACCCATTGTTGTTTGTGATGGTGGGGGCTGTTGCGCCGCAACAGATTTCTGGTGACTAGCACTAGAACTCTGACCAGAGAGTTGGGACATTACGGGGCTATTGAGACTGCGCTCGCTATTGCTGTGAAGCGCGTCTTTACCGCCAGAGCTGGAGGTGGTAGCCAAAAGAGCGCTCTGCAGTGGCTTACCCGATATGTCATGTAACGTAAGTATGCGTGGCTGTTGAGAGCTAAGCTCGGAACTAGGTGAAAGACGCGCAAGCGGTGTGCTTTGGTGGGTCCGCGAGGCACTTCCCGGGGGAGGTGGCGGTTGCCCGCCTTGAGTTGGAACGCGAGATACAAACGGCGCATTAACGACGTGACGCGGTGAGTGCCTATGTTGCTGCTGACCCGCAGGGCGCTGATGTTTATGATGCATATATGCAGTTACCGGGGATGAGGTAGTTTTGTATTTCCGTATACCGCCCGCTTCTCCTCTGGCTCTGTAACCCTTGTAGTGGTATACGATGTCAATGTCAGACGGAGCAATAGAGCTGGCGTTCTCCAAATCGTAATGCTCTGGATAGTCGGAGCTAAGGTCTAAGTTGACATGCTCTAGTGGATGCAGCACTTGAGTGGATGGTGCCGCTAAGGATAAATGGTGTTCTTCTCTTATTGGAGGGTTTTTATTGACCACTTCACGTTCGATGATATCTGGACGCTGTGGACGATGCTGAGATTGTGAGTTTTCCGCAGCTAAAGGTAACTCGCTCCGGTCTTTAAATTTTTTTGTGATCAACTCTGGCCCCACCAGTTGGTGTGCTGGCTGGCGTACAAGTTCGGTTCCATCAGTCTCATTCGGGTGTATGCCGCGCGTTAGTCCATGGTCCGATGGGCTCTGTGAAACATTGGCCGAGCTGCTAAGCACACCTCCACTATGGTTTATCTTGAATCCTGGCACGCCACAGCTAAGGCTCCCAATTTTTTCCTGCTTGCCCCGGAATCGATAAATGATATACGAGCCAAAGATGGCTACTACTAATATCACGAAAAACACAATGACCAGTGTAATACCAATGCTCAGTGGGTCGGCAATCTGCGCGGCATCAATGCCGACATCGCTTCTGCATCCCGTCTCTACATTTCCATGGTGTGTTATTTCGGGGAATATATTACCAAAACCATTTAGGGGCTGCACATCACTGTTGATACTAAAGTTGGCGATACATCCTACAAAAGTATCCACCTGCAAGATATCCTTAGGAACACCTCCTATGGTTAGCATGGTAAGATATGGATCGAAAAAGTCATGTACTCCAGAAAAGTCGAGATCATCGCCAACTTGGAGCCCATCGATATATAAGCGAAGTGTATGGCTTTCCGCAAGCAAGCTAACATTGTGCCACTTCCCATCGTATAGGTTAATCGCCGTTTGTAAGGTCATGTTAACAATTAACTCTTGCTTGGAATAGTACACAAGCTTTCCTCCATGTAGAGACAGCGATGTAAACATTTGATTGGTCGCCGCATACAGGATTAACCCCTCTGTCTTGTAGGTGCGAAAAAGAAGGCCCATCATTTTTGGTAATTCGTCAATTTGAAAACTGGTGCTTATATTGTTGGCAGGAGTGTAACGGCGCTTTCGAAAGCTATGTGATAATACGGCTCCGTCGCCTTCGTATAAATTGTGCAGCAATTGTATGCGGCGATGTTGCTCGGATATATTGAATTCAATATATGCTCCATCGGTGAGTGTAATTGGCTGTAGCGAATCCCCACAGTCAGGCGAATGCAAATATCCTCCGCATTGACATAATAAGGTAGACCAGCGATCGCTGCACTGACCCACGGCGTATCTGCCACACCGTTCGGCAGCGATCGATGACTCACACAGACCCTTCTGGCGATGACAACCAGGTACAACTCTGTGCTGCTGCAGTGGTGTGCTAAGATTTAAGTTACGCCCATTTATAGAGATGCTGTGAATACACCCAACAAAGTCGTCGCTGTGTATTTGACCATGGCGCTGCAAAACTGTATCCACTGATGCAAGGCCGCCAATTAATAGGGGCTGTTTATTGAAGTTCAACGTTCTGTAATTGAAAATGTATGTTTAATTTAAAAAATAAACCAACGGAATACTTTCTATTCATATCATTTTCTTATCTTTTGTAATATTTGAATTTAAATCAAACAATCGTTAAACAATCTATAGATTTATATATCTAAGAATCATAAAAATCACACATTTTTATACCCTGTACCCAAAAGGTAAAAGGTTATACTAGTTTTGTGCGAATGTGTGTAACAGGTAGAAGAAGGCGTGGCAAACCCCACAAAGTATATATATTTTTGATCAGGGTGACAAACCCAGTCAATATAGGCGTCTGGATTAACGTAAGGATTTAAAACAGGCTCAAAGCAGAGGCAATGACTAGGCGAAGCAACGATGAAAGGAGCATTGCCGTAACAGCAGAAGAAGGATACGATAATGGTGGAAAACGACTACTTAGCTCAGCGGAAGTTAATGAGCCAAAGGGAAAAATAAGGATAAGGAACCACTCGGATGGGAAACAGTCAGAAAGAGGAGGTAGACCAGAAAGGCCCGCCTGAAGGAGATTCCTCAGCAAAAGACTCGAGGGGAAACCTGGAAGCAAAAACGAAAACCAGAGGCCGAAAAATGAAGCTATTCTTATGAACCCAACGAAGGGACATAGCTATGCCGAGATTTTAAAATGTCTCCTCGGGGAGATGGAGGACAAATAAAAAAATTAAATTAGCTTGTATAGACTAGGAGCGTCTGAAATCCAGGCGTTCATCCACACGGACGGACATGTCTAGATCGATTTCTCTCGTCATGCTGATAAGAACTATATATGACTTTTTTGATACTCACCCAACGGGTCCTACCACATCTGCGAAACAGGTCCCATCGCCAGGATTGCACTCAGCGCACACATCACCGGAGTCCGTACAATGGGCAACGCTAAGCGACATCACTCGTCCATTACGTGTAGCGGTAACTTTATGCCAATTACCGTCAGTTACATTGTTGCTGACGGCAACTGTGGTAATGGATGTCCGTATACCACCTGAAGAGAAGTATGCTTGCCCGCGCACCAATTCAATGGCTAAGAAGTCAGAGCGCCCACCGTTTTGAATACCGTAATTATATAGCAGTAGTGCGTTAGGCTTGCTTGTCGCAAACACAATTGAAATGTCGTTGGTGGTTGGATCCAAAGCGGGGAATGTCATGTACGACAGAGGTTCAAAACCGTAGCTAAACCGTTCGCAATGGCGTCCATAGCGATTCGCCGTACAAGTGCATTTAAACCCTGGTTTTAAGCTAACGCACTGGCCGCCATGAAAGCATGGATTTGGGCGACAGGAGTCGGAAATACTCTCACAGAGACTTCCACGATAGCCAGGACGGCAGAGGCAAATAAAGGATTTTCCGTCTGAACTGATTTGGCAGCTACCACCGTTGCGGCAAGGCTTGGTCAAGCAGATGTCGCCGCGTTCCCGTTGGCACTGCTTGCCTTCCAGATTGTTCGGACATATACACTGATAGTCATAACCAATACGATGGCATTTCGCTTGTGCCAGACAAGGATTTGGGTTACAAGGGTCTTGGCGCCTGGTGCACTGCTCTCCGGCAAATCCAACGGCGCACTGGCAACTGTAGTCATGAGCAAGCTGTGGATTACTTAACACAAAAGAAGGACTGTCGACGATACTAAGCCTTTGCAAGTCAAAAACCCGTATAGAGGAGCTACATACGCCTCCATTAGTACAAACATTCGAAACGGAGCACGGTTCGTAACCAACAATCACTTCCGTTTGCATCAATCTAACGAGAGCAGAATGCTTTTCTTCCAGGTAACCAATTATGAAGCGTGGGTGATGATAAGTTCCATTAGCCATTCGTATAGCAAGTAGTACCTCAACTCCAGTACCGTTCGAGGTAATATCGATCAGACCGTAAATGGATAACTTGCTATCGGATCCATAACGCAAATTTATCAACTCTATGATTGATCGATGAAACTGGGTAAGAAACTGCTGCGCCGTCACATTTTTCACCAGCAGTACCACTGTGTTTGCCAGAGTATTGTTATCAAAAGCGTAAAAATTTACGGTTACCTTGGAACTGACATCACTATGCTTGCCGTCGTTACCTTGGATATTGTATATATAAGTTGCCGTACTTATAGTTTGGGCGGTGGTGTATAAATCACAACCATTTGGTATAGTTAAATGATCATTTCCGATGCTTTCCTGGATGTGGCAGCGATACGTGGCAGCCGTATCAATATCGTTAGGATGCACATCGGCGACTTTTGTATTTGGAGGTAGCTCTCCGTTGAAAACGCTTACAGCCACCTGAACTGTTCGTGGCGTAGAAGGATTATCATTCTGGTCCAATATATTAATAGTCAGTGTATGCTGCGTTCGTTGGGGTGGTTTTCCATTGTCCTCCACCTCAATAATGGCTTCCAATGTTTGTGTCACCTCACGGTCAAAGGTAACAGTTGATTTAACCACCCCCGTTTGTTCGTTGATATTCAACCAAGACTTATGCTTGCCGCCCACCAATTTGTAAATAAACGGTCCACCATTTGGGGCCAAATCTGGATCGCTAGCCGATAACGTCATAATAAGTGTGCCCGGCAGCTCATTCTCCATTACGTATCCTAATAAGCCTCCTGCAGCAAAGGTAGGTCCATTGTCGTTAACATCCTCCAGATCTATGCGCACTGTGGTGCTTCCAGTTTGTTTAGGCAATCCGGTATCGATGGCACCTATAATCAAATTGTAATGCGATATATCCTCACGGTCTAAACGGCGATTGGTTTGAATTTCGCCTGTCTGTGAGTCTATCTTAAAGCTGTGCATTGGATTACCATCAATTATGGAATAGCTAAACTGACTATTTTGCGGGCGTGTGTCCTTGTCAACTGCCTTCACTTTGGTTACTCTCGTGCCAATAGGTGCATCTTCAGATATTTTAGCAGTGTAATAGTGCTTTATAAATTCTGGTGGGTCATTGCCGTCCTGAATAGAGATAATTATCTGAGCCTCATCTGTGTCATTACCACGTATGCTTCCGTAATTTTTAGCCATGACTGTTAATACAACACGACTTTGCATTTCTCGATCTAATTGGCGGGAAACGAAAAGAACTCCCGTATGCGTGTTAATGCTAAAGCCTTTATCGTTGCTGGACCCCACCAGCAGATAATAGACATGACCATCCTCGCCAGCGTCCTTATCTGTGGCTTGCACCGCTCCAACTGAAGAGCCGATAGCTGAAGATTCCGATACGTCAAAATGAAAGACGGGCTGGACAAATTGTGGGTAGTACTCATTTACACCTGTAACGTGTACAAAAAGGGTGGCATAGTTTTCCATAACTGAATCGGGATTTGATGCCTTTATTTGCAGCATATAAGTGCGACGACGAGATTCATAGTCAAAACTTGTTGCGGATGAAACGACACCAGTGGTAGCATTTATGGTAAAATAGTTTCGATCAGGTCCGCTGCTGAGGCTATAATATATGATGGCATTTTTTGGCGAATCCTTATCGGTTGCGTGTGCGTGGAAGACAAATGTAGACTCTGGCTTGTTCTCCTCTATATATGAGTGGTACTCTGACTCACTAAACTCTGGTGGATTATCGTTGACATCAGTTAAAATAATGGTGAGTAAAGCCACTGCTTTTTTTGGCCTAAAGCCCAAGTCTTTAGCTGTTATATTCAAATGATATTCTTGTATGACATCAAAGTCCAATGATTGCAGTAAAGTTATAGCTCCTGTGTGCTCATCAACTTCAAATTCTTTTCGCTCATTGCCGCTTGAGATGAAATACTGCAGCATACCGTTGGGTCCATTTTTATCGTCGTTATCTGTAGCACTTACGGTGAGTATGGTCGAACCAATGGGTTCATTTTCCGGAACAATTACTTGATAACTGAGAGCAGTAAATACAGGCATGTGCCGGTTTTCCCCGGTCACAATAATAGTGACGTTAGTCTGATCTGACAGAGGTGGCACCCCACGATCTGTGGCTGTCACTGTAAGAAGAAAATACATATTTTCTGGTACATCAAGGTGCTTAGCTAACGATATACAGCCATCTTGTTTACTAATTACGAAGTAAGCACTTAAGTTGGCACTGACAAGGGAATAGTCAACTTCGGCATTGACACCAACGTCTTGGTTGTCCACAGCGCTAACGCATACAATAAGCTGACCAGGACGCGAATTTTCGGGTAACGGTGAAAGGTAGTACTGTTGCTTGAACTTAGGTGGATTGTTGTTGGCATCAACTATGTTTATATTAACAAGGCACTCCGAGTTGAGCGGAGGCTTACCATTATCTGTGGCAAGTATTGTTAGCGCATACATATTTTCTGGTGAACTACCGTACTGCGAATACTGATACTTGATTTTCTTCTTGCTGTACAGTACACCAGTAGCAGGATCGATACTAAACACATGCGATGGTTGGTGTAAAGCATATGAAATAACAGAGTTGGGTCCCTGTTTGTCGCGATCTGTTGCTATAATTTGGCCCACAATGGCTCCTGCACGTTGCAGCTCCGGAAAATTATAACTGTAAAAACTGTGCTCAAATTCAGGTGCATTGTCATTTTGATCGAGAATAGTTATAGTAATTGGTGTTTCCGCGCGCCAAGCCCCATCTGAAGCTACCACTTTCAATACATACTCGTCCTGAAGCTCACGATCCAGTAGTGCGGCTACAGTAATGTTTCCACTAATTTGATCAATCTTGAACTTGTGGCCAGGATTTTCACTGAATGTGTACGTAACATTAGCATTTGGGCCCAAGTCCAAATCGGAGGATGTCACAGTTATAACAAAACTTCCGATTTCTACATTTTCAGTAACATTAAGCGAAAATAATCGTGAAAATTTTGGGGGGTTATCGTTTTTGTCCAGTAATTGTAGTAATACACTTGCTGTGCCTGTTAATTGCGGCAAACCCTGGTCCACTGCTTCCACTATAAGAGCATAGTTGCTCATCTGCTCACGATCTAAGCGGAGAGTGGTGTAAATTTCACCTGAGTCCGCATCAATCTCAAAGGTGCCATCATAATCGTTTTGTAATCGAAAGCTTATCTCTCCATTATTACCGGAGTCTTTGTCAATCGCCTTAATTGTAACTACATGCTGTGGTGGCGTTTCCTCCTCTAAGAGTTCGGCGGCATAAATAAGTTTTTCCATAACCGGTGCATTATCGTTGGTATCGGTTACATTTATGGTCAGTAGGACAACGCTGCCAAGGCTTGGTGTGTCGGAATCAAAAGCTTGAACCCAAAGTTGAAGCTCGGACGCTAGCTCGTAGTCTAGGCCGTCTTCGCCGACAGTCAAAACACCACTTTTAACATCTACACGTACACTGTCGCCAACGTTATTCCCACCCGATATTTCGTATCGTATAGTGCCAGCGGCGCCTTTTTTGGGAGAAATTGCCGTCAATTTCGCAATCGTGCTTGTTGGTAGCACATCCTCCGGCAATATAAGTTGTGTATTAGGAATATATGAAAATGTTGGGAAGAACTCCGTGGGACGCTGCACGACCGTCAGCTCAGCTGTGGAATTTAGCGGTACCTCACCGTGATCTGTGGCGTGAATTTTGATATTGTAAATATTGGAATCGATATTCCCATTCCGCTTAAGTTGCAGCTTCAGTTTTAGCACGCCAGTCACAGCATCTATGGCAAAGTACTGGTAATCATCCCCACTAATGTTATACGTAACATGTCCATTAGGACCTTCATCTAAATCTAACGCTTTCGCGCTAAATACAAACTCTCCGACGTGTATTTTATCTGGTACAACAACATCAAAATGGTCTGAGGTAAATTTGGGAGCATTATCGTTGATATCCGTTACGGTTATGGTAAGGTTTACAGACGTTGCACGTGGATCAATAACTGAGCTATCTTGAGCCATGAGCGTAAGATGATACACGGCAGTTTTCTCGCGGTCCAGTATGGAAGCTGTGGTGATTTCGCATGTCTCGGAATCAATTTGAAACTTTTCCATGTGCTCGCCCAATAAACTGAAACGTATTTTGGCGTTTATACCATCATCTCTGTCAGTGGCTATTGGTTGCAACACATGCGTGCCTATAGGAAGATTCTCCTGAATACTGGAATAATAGGATTGACGCTCGAAAGTTGGACTGTGATCATTTATGTCCTGCACCTTGACACGTACATTTCCGGTACCAGTTAGAGGAGGTGAGCCTGTACGGAAAAAAGACAAAATTTTCAGGCATTTGTGAATTACTTGATAATAGAAACAGGCATTAGGAGAGCCATTAGGTGAGCCATTCATCTAGACGGTTGCTGAATATGAATATTATATATAGTATGTACTTAAACCTAATATGCACAAACCTAATATACCCTTTTTACCATTCGGGTACAGGGTATATACAAATAAGTAAGCAATGCGAACCAATATATATTTGAAGAGGAAAAAAATTCTCTATATATTCATACGTTAATCTATTTTAAATCAGAAAAATTTTCTTTCTGTTTTGGTTCAAAACAATAGTGTTTAGAGTGTTTTTAGAGTCGGACGGATCGCTAAAGATATTGATTACCGCTTATGGCGATAAATCGGCACGCACGTATAAAAGTAACCTGCATTTGCATTATTGAATTCATAAGCTTACCTGTGTCCATAGCTACTAATGTCAGAATGTATTCACTCTGTAGCTCCCGATCTAGTGGCTTAAGTAATGATATGTTTCCCGTCGATGCATTGATTTGAAATAAATCAGCATCGCCTTCTTTGAGAAAATAGCGCACTTGTGAGTTTAAAGGCGGTGTGTCGGCGTCATAGGCGTCGACAGTAAGGACATACCCTCCATTGGGTGGTATAGTATTTTCCATAACGTACGCGATATACGGCGAATTCAAGAAAGTCGGCGAATTGTCATTGATGTCGGTGATTGAAATGCTCACCTCTGCAGTGTCGATACGAGCTTCATGTGCGACATGGCTCAGTATCCGTTGGTCGGTAGCTAGACTTAAATAATCATTCTCTATTGCGCAATCTGCCGCTTCAACCGTCAGGATGTAGCGCGAAGTGCGTTCATAGTTCAAATTTTTTGCAACACGAATGACGCCTGTGTCTTCGCTGATGCTAAAGTCATGATTTTCATCACCAGCCGATATTGTGTAGCGCACTTGTCCATTAACGCCTTCATCTACATCCGTGGCGGACACTTGCAGAACCATAGCACCTATACTTGCGTTTTCCGCCACTGAGGCGGAGTATTGCTTTGGATCGAACACTGGACTATTGTCATTGTCGTCGAGGATTTTTATTAGCAACTGCTGTTGTGTAGATTGTGGGGGCTCTCCACGATCCCGTGCTAATATGTTCAAGGTATAAGATGAACACAGTTCGCGATCTAATGTATCAACGACGCGTAATAGGCCATCGGTTGGATTAAGAGTAAAGGGCAGTGATTCCACATCGGTAAGTAAGGCAGAAGGTTCAACAAGGATATAGTCGATATACCCGTTGCGCCCCTCATCAGGATCTACAGCTTTAACAGACATGACAATTGTATTGATGGCCACATTTTCCATTATTTTCGTCTCGTTCGCAGAAATAAATACTGGCGGTTCATCATTTATATCTTTAATAAGGATTGTTACCTATGAAAAAAAGATTGTTGTTTTAGGAAGATAATAAAACTGAAACACAAGTGGTGGAGTCGTCCAGATAGAATCGTGTAAAAAAATAAAACGAGTGGAGAAGCTAAAGTCTGGTAATATTACAACAATATTTTTGATCGATTATATATGTATAACTGCAAATTTATATAGGAATTGTGTCTAGATTCACATGCGTGTCTATGCGTGTTTTTGTGTGTCTGCGTATGCCAGCTCAACAAAAATATCTTCTCAACATCAGCTCCTTGCAGAGCTTTGGCAGAGATTATATATATGGCTATAACTTCCTTTCAAATTGACATATCAAGATGACATACAGACATAAATTCACTAACTAGAGGTATTTGCCAAATCTGAGTCAAAAATTCCAAGAATTATGAGAGTTATAGAAAATCAATAATTACCGGAAGGCTAAGGGAAGGCTAAAAAAATTCTAAAATAGACATTTTCTGCGTATTCATATAAGGCACCTTGGACTTTGGTGTGGAGGCGTGGTCGACCCCACAAAATATATATATTCTTGAACATTATGACAAGCTAAGTCGATATAGCAATGTCCTTATGTCCGTCCGTCTGTATTAAAGGCAGGATCTATGAAATTATTCAAAAAGAATTTTCAAAAAGAAGGTATGGTAGACCCCACAAAATGTGTATATGTGTTCTTCTGGCCATAATTCTATATACATATGTACATCGAATCTCAGGAAGTAAATGAACTAGAATAGCCAATATTGGAATCCACGTTCTACTAAAGTCGAGAGGAGACAATCTTGAAACTATTGACCCAAATTAACAATTACATCCAGCAAGTGCTTATTGGCTAATGTCAAGTTTTATCACGATAGGTCATATGTAAAGGAATTCATACCCCTACGTGTAAGCCCTGTACTTCAGACATAAATACACTCGCAATGCAACTCTTCAAAGATTTACGTTGAGTTGGGAATTCCAAAAAATTAAATAAACTCGTCCTTTCTCGGAGAATCCTAGGAGAATCTGGATGCCAACTTTGGTTATTCCAGGATTTATAGTTTCTGAGATCCTTGCGTTCATCCAGACATACGGACAGACGGACGGACATGTCTAGATCGATTTCTCTCGTCATGCTGATTCAGAATATATATACTTTATGGAATCGCAGATGCTTCCTTCTCTATGTTACATACTTTGCACAAACCTAATATACCCTTTTTACCCTACGGCTACAGGGTATAAAACTATGACGAAGAACAGCGAAATTGTTTCGCTAATAATTTTCCTTGAAATTAACCGATTTAGATTAATTTTGAAAGTTCGCTCTTTCACTGTCGGGGTTGCTCGACCGTAACGTTCTCTCTTGTTTTTATTTTAAGTCGAAATTGATTTTTGTAGTTGAATTATTAATAACAGCCATAAATGCAATCTAAAACGAAAAGTTTCTCAGATTTATAACCACGACTGGTTATTCTAGCTCTCATACTTTTGGAGGTCCAAGATTGCCGAGACGAACATACATTCAGCAGCCCTAGTTATATAGTTATCTAAGTGAATCTTTTCCAAAATTGCCGACATCAACATTTACTTTCTTAAAGCTATATAGTATTTGAAACTAGCAGGTCTTGCCCGGCTTCGCTGGGCTAAGTAAAATGTGCTTATAATTATAAGTTTATTTACTATATGATATTCTGCTTTCGACGCTCTCTAAAGTTTTTTAAGAGTTCATTTTCCAAATAGCAAATATAGTATAATGAGTACTACGTACATACATACATAAGTACATATCTTCGTTACGAACCGGGCGGACTGCCAGTCCTGACTTAACTGTGTGCTTCCTCAGCACGTTGTACGCACGGTCGAGTTATCACCGAAAAGTCCGACGCGGGACATTTAATTTGGATACATACATTTAAATTTTTCATGCAGGCGTTATCCGCCTATATACATACATACATATATAAGTATGTATTAAATTTTTTAATTCAAAACTAATTTGTGTCTTCAATTCCAAATATGATTGCTATGAATGTAAAAGGTTTGTTTCTGCTTTTGTTAATCGCATGAATACACTCACAAAATAGGTTTAACGGTAAATGACTCTTAGATTTGTTCAGAATACATTTGTAGCGTTGTTAGCTAACACTAAAATGGTAAGTCGCTGTAAAAATGCGATCAGCTGGGATGCTAGAGATGGGCATGTGTCGGATGCTCTATGTGCTAGAGCATCAAAACTATCGATAGTTGAATCCGTCCATACAATCAATAATTCCATCGAAGTTTGAATGCAATTAACAGAAAATTTAAATAATAACATCTTATAATTTATTGAGATCAATTAGAACAAATCATATACAAACATAAATATGTATGTACATCTGCCCGCAACGCGAAGCAGAATATGCTTATGTCCGCTTTCGGTTTCTGCTTTACTATCGCTTACGCAGTCGTTGCCTAGCGACGGTGACTGTAAACTTTTACACAGGCATACATACATACATATGTATGTATGTACATATGCATGCCTGTTTCTCTTTACTTTTTCAACCGTACGTAGAGAACCGCACACATAGACACGAACTGCTGCTTGTTCTGTGTGCGAGTGTGTGTATATGATGTCCCCAACTATTTGATATTTGCGTTCTTTGTAATTTGTTGTTGCTGCATAAAGTTACTAATGAAAACCCTAATGCCAAAAGTACTAAACATAGAAAAAACAAGTAAAAATGCTAAAGTCGGGTCCCGACTTTGAAATACTCTGTACATATGTTTACAATAATTATAACAAATAAAAAAAATTAACAAAATTTAAAAAAACAAGAGAGAACGCTACAGTCGAGCAAGCCCGACAGTGTAATACCCTGTACCCAGGTAAACTTCCGTCACTGAGTTATATGCGCCCATAGCAGCTGCAAAAGAGGAAGAAGAAGAGCGAACTTGTTGCTGTAGTTTGAGGGGGTTGTACTGGCGAGGATTTGTTTTGCTAATAACTTTTCTTAGAAATGACCGAATTGAATAAAATTTTATACAACAGTAGACAATTATATATTAATTATGTGTGCAAAGTTTGGTTTAGGTAGCATATATAACAAAAAACATAAACTCGTCCTTACTCGGACCTAGGAGAATCTGAATGCCAACTTTGGTTATTCTAGCTTTTATAGTTTTTGAGATCCTTGCGTTCATCCAGACGGACGGACAGACGGACGGACAGACGGACGGACAGACGGACGGACATGTCTAGATCGATTTCTCTCGTCATGCTGATCAAGAATATATATACTTTATGGGGTCGGAGATGCTTCCTTCTGTATGTTACATACTTTGCACAAACCTAATATACCCTTTTTACCCTACGGGTACAGGGTATAAAAATATTCCATGCATGCATACATGGATTGGGCCTGGTTATATGGCTATAACTTTCTTTCCGATCATTCTATCATAGTGAAACTTGGTATACGGATATATAATCACTAACCTAATGTGACTACCAAATTTTAGTTTAAAATTCTAAGAATTACGGGAGTTATAGAAATCGTTAATAAGGGGGGAGTGGGGGGTGGATCAGAAAAAATGAACAAACTCGTCCATTCTCGGTCTCAGGAGAATCTGTATATCAAGTTTGGTTATCCTACGGGAGCTAGAGAAAATCGTGATTTGCGGGGGAGAGGGGGGTGGGAGGGAAATTCCAAAAAGCACGTTTTCTGCGTATTCACATAAGGAATCTGGCACTAATTTGGTGTCCGTAGGTCTTATAGTCTCCGAGATATGGGCGATTATACGAATGGGAAGTCGGGAAAACCCCCATAGGGGTGAAGTGGTGGGAGGGGGGGAAATCCAAAAAATAAAACAAACATGCACAGCGTACACATATAACGCATATTTGTGCAAAGTTTGGTGTCTCTACCTCTTATAGTCTCTGAGATCCAGGTGTTCATACGGACAGACAGACAGGGCTAGATCGACTCGTCTCGTCATGCTGATCAAGAATATATATACTTTGTGGGGTCTGCCACGCCTCCTTCTGCCTGTTACATTTTCAGCTCCCGCAAACCTAATATACTCTTGTACATTTTATGTACAGAGTATAATTACTTTTAAAAATGTTAAATAATTTTTAATTAATTAACATTTCTAGCTCAGTGCAAGACGAATGAACATACATACATACATAGTTGTGTACATGTACATAGATGTGTACATATGTATGTGTATACATTCACACATTAGTGTCTTACATTTTGCTTTGACTATTTCAATCGTTTGCAACCAACTACACGAACAGCTGCTTGTATGTGAGTGTGTGTGTGTATGTATACTTAGTTGTCCCCCCCAACTGTTTGATATTTTGTATTATTTGTTCTGTCTGCATTTGTAAAATGCATATTTTGAAAATTCTTGAACGCAAAGTTGTAGATTTTGTTACGTAGATTACAGTCCCCAAATTTGAAATCGATCGGAAAAAATTTATAACACAAACTTTTCATTTGAAAAGGTGAATAAATATTAAAACCCCAATAATTCAGTTTTGTTTGAATTCTTTTATAGATTATAAAAATCAAATTTAAAGTTGATTGGTGGAAAACTGAAGCTTCATAGCTCTTACCGTTTGGGCTGTGGGCTGTCGACGCGGTTTCCTTTTGTGCCCCATTTTTTTACAGGAAAATATTTCAGTCCCCAAAAAAAAATTAAAAAAACCAAGTATACAGTTTTTCATGGAATTTTTCTGAGAGTATACAAAGTTTGAAGTTAATCAGATGAAAATTGTAGATTTTTCATACAAATGTTGGAGCCTGTTTTCCCCCGTTTGGCGCTCGAATTTTCCAAAAATCCCTTCTTAGTGGGCACCTACACTATGAAAGGATAATTGAATTCAAATTTCAACTTCCTAGCTTTTACCGTTTGGGCTGTATATTGATCACCAATCAGTCAGTCAGGACAAACTGTTTTATATATATAGAGATTAATCTCTAATGTGCCACATAAACCAAAGAGTTTCCGACTGTAATTAATAGTGGGGGCTATCGGATAATAATACGAGTCCTTACCTGTACCGTCGCTGAGAGTCGCTGCTGTTTTTGATGAACCATGAGTTGAGATGGTTGTTCCTGTATTTTACGGGGTATGCGATATTTTAATTTCAACCGCGCCTCTTCTAATCCTTTAAAGGCTGCTTCGTCATTAGCACAATCCCGAGCGGTGATTGTCAATGTATAAGAGCTTCGACGTTCTCTATCAATTTTACGACGGGTACGAATTGTCCCATTGCTCATAATTTCAAAATCGTTTGACTCGTCACCATCGGTTATGCTATATTCAATGAGGCCATTGTTTCCTGCGTATATAAGCAATATGCATTGTTAAAAACAAATAAAGGAAGCAACTTGAAACGTCGAGAAATGCTTACCAGAATCAATATCTTTTGCCGACACATTTACCACTGTTATTCCAATAGGGACATTTTCAAATATTTCACTGGAGTAGCTCATCGGATCGAATATGGGGGCATTGTCATTTAAGTCAAGGACGTTGCAATACACCGTAATGGTGGTTGACAAACTAGGTATTCCGTTGTCCTGAGCTTGAACTATTAATATGTAATGTTGCACCTGTTTAATGGGAAAGTGACAAGTGACATTTATAGACAGCTTTGTAAGGAAAAATTGTATTCTCCATCGCTACCTCTTCGTAGTCCAAAAGCGCCGTTAACGTAAATACCCCTGTTTGGGGGTTTAAGCTGAAAACATCATTTGCCCAATCGGATATAACTGTGTAGGACAACTGTGCATTTGCACCCAAATCGTTATCGCTGGCCTCAATTCGCCCGACCTGATAACCGCGTTCCGCATTCTCTGGTATATCAAATGAGTAAACTGAATCCGAAAATAAAGGTGGATTGTCGTTGATGTCGGTAACCTTTAATGTTCAAGTTTTGTATTATGATTGCTTAAAAAACACAGGTATACCAATATTTACATCAATTATTATATGGGCTTGCGTAAATTGAACTCCATCGCTGACTCTTATGCGTATATTGTATCTACTTTTGGTTTCACGATCTAATCCATCCTTGAGAAGAAACGTACCAGTTCTGGGCTCTAACGCAAACTTTTCATCATGTCCATCCATAATGGCGTACGAAATATTTCCAATTGAATCGGGATCATATGCAGATATTGTCGCAATAGTACCTCCAATATCGAGTTCCTCGCTTACATTATAAATCAATGGCATATTTAGAATGGTCGGTGGGCTATCATTCCTATCCAGCAGAGATACAATAATCTAAAACGGGGTAAGTCAATTAAAGTTAAAATAATCTTTAACTTATTTTACAAATAAGAAAAATGTGTTCTTGCTAGTTTGTAGATATCCCTTTTGACTTACCGAAGTTTTTGCAGATCGAGGTCGACCACCAACCGCGATGGCGTGAACTTCTACCTCATAAGTATCAAATCCAGCTTCACGGTCCAGTTCAGCCGCAGTTGATAAAATGCCCAATTTAGTGTCAATATCGAATAAGCGATCTACTTGTGAAGCTTTACTTTCTGGCTTTTTGCCTATCGCAGTGACATTTGTCACAAAATACTCAATCTGGTATTCATAAAGGTGGGCGTTTACCGTCAAAATACTCGTCCCAATTGGTTCGTTCTCGTAAACGGAACCAAAGAGTGAGTTCTGTTCAAAAGTCGGTATATCGGGCTCCTTGCCACCCAATGTTATAATAGTTATGTAAGTCTCAGTGCTCTTGCGTTCGCTTTGAACCGCTTCGTCGGTGGCTTTTATAGCTAATTGGTAGCTAAGCTCGGGTTTGCTTACAGCGTTATTATTTAATGTGATTATTCCTGTATTTCGCTGTAAGCGAAAAATATCCTGTTGACTGTTCACAATTTCATATGTAACCAGACCGTTGCTTGAAGAATCCGCATCCCGGGCTTGCACTTGCATAACATATGCTCCACTACCATATCTCAACAACTTTCCATCAGCAGGCATAATAGCTGCATTCATTGATACAAAAATTGGTGGATTATCATTGATATCTTCTACAATAACCGTGACAAGCTTTTCTGTGGACAGTTGTGAATCTGGTGGCTGTGCTTGGTCCGTAGCTACCACAGTCAGTCGAAAGGTATCAATCGACTCACGGTCGATTTCACGCAGTGTGTGTATGACTCCGGTTTGAGTATTGATGCCAAAATGGCGGCCTCCGGGTGGTTCCGGCTCTTGCCTGCTGATAGCGTAAGTGACTTTACCGTTCAATCCCGAGTCAGGATCATCTGCGATCACCGTAACTATTGGCGTTTTTACTGGAATTCCCTCTTGGATCTGTCTTACAATGGCAGTGTTTGTGAATTCTGGCGCGTTATCGTTCTCATCAACTACTTGTATCGTAAAGATGATCGTCGTGGAGAGTGTTGGTACACCACAATCTGATGCTGTTATGTTTAATGCATAAACGGAATTTTCCTCATAGTCCAGAGGCTTGTGAAGATATAAACTTCCGCTTAGTCTGTCTATATGAAATGTGTCCTTGCGGTTTCCTGCAGTAATACTATAAATTACTTGGCTGTTTATGCCCTGGTCCATATCACTTGCAGTAAAATACATCAGCTTTGAACCTTGGGGTGTAGTTTCCAATACAGATATTTCACTAATAAACTGGGTAAACTCTGGAGCATTATCATTGTCATCTAAAACATTTATGAAAACAGTCGTGTTAGAACTAAGCGGATGGATTACCGCTGCATCGCGTGCTTCTACTAAGAGTTTGTGGGAAGGATTCAACTCTCGGTCCAATGATCGCGCCAGTGTCAGCTGACCCGTTGCGCTATCCAAGCTGAACTGGCCCGACTCATTACCTCCTATTAGCATAAAGAAAACATCTCCGTTGAGGCCCTCATCATCATCTTGAGTAAATAGGTACATAATATGTGTGCCCACAGTCGCGCCTTCTGAAATAGTTACGTGATAAGGTTCACGCAAAAACTGTGGGGCATTATCGTTGACGTCGCTCACAATTACTTTTATGTTTGCATGATCATGTAGGGGCGGTGATCCATTATCCGAGACGACGACCTCTAACATCAGATAATTGTTACCGTTATCTTCATCGACACTGCCAGCCCTGTTTTCTGGTCCGCGTTGTCCGCGCAATAAAGCTTCTCGATCGAAGGGTCGTAACGTTTTGATAAAGCCGCTTCGCGAATCTATGGTGAAGTCCAGAGACTCATTAGGCAATGCGAAAATTAGCTCAGCGTTGTGTCCGATATCTCGATCTACCGCCGTTAGCTTCCCAACAAAAGTACCCATTGGCATATTCTCTGAAACACTATATACAAATGTCCTGTTTGTGAAACGAGGCGCATTATCGTTCGAATCAAGGATATGGATAGTAACTGGAACCACAGAAGAACGTGACGGCGTGCCAGCATCTTGGCAAATTATTGTAAGCGCGTAATAATCTCGCTCTTCGCGATCTAGTGGTGCCCGCAGAAATAAATATCCATCAGGAAAAATTCCAAACATATGCTCTTTGTTTCCTTCGGTTATCTCATATGAAATGCGTCCATTTGCACCCAGATCATTATCAGAGGCGGCCAGTGCGAAGAACCGCGTATTCACCTTAGTTGTCTCCAGGAGGGATGTCTCGTATGAAGTATGGTCAAAAACAGGTGTGTGATCGTTAACATCAAAAATGTGCACGAACAGGCTTAGCTTGCTGTATAGTGAGGGCATGCCACCATCAGTAGCCTGCAGCTCCACCTGCAGCACCGTGTTAGGCTCTGCGCGCACTGGTTGCTGCAAATAAAGCACCCCAGATGCCGTACTAATTCGAAACTGTTCATTAGGATTACGAGTAAGGTTGAAATTGATCCGGCTATTAATTCCTGCATCTCGATCGCGTGCTCTGGACAAGTATATTTCTTGACCTACAGCGGCATTTTCGGGCAGCCAAATAGCGGTGGCGTCGTCAAAGTCGTGTTCGTGAGCAAAACTTGGTGCATTATCATTCAAATCAAGAATTGTGATGTGGACACTGCATTTACCGTACGCGGAAGCCATATTGTTGTCATTGTTGTCACTACGCTTACGCGCCAAAATTACCAAGTGATAATGAACTTGTTCTTCTCGATCTAAAGGCTTTGCGGTAGTAATGAGACCATTGTGACGGTCTATGCTGAACATTTCTTGAGAGTCGCCATGAATGATATCGAATTCAACCAGCATAAAATCGAAGGGCTGCTGCTGTTGCGACTTCAGTTGTACTCGCCCCACTTCCCGGCCCAATTGTGCTTTATGGGAAGCATGATCTTCAACAATTTCATATTCATAATCGCCATCAGTGTCAAATTCGAGTACACCTGTTTTTGATTGCAACACTATTTCAACAATAGCATCGTGCACATTACGTCGCCCGCCAGGATCACGAGCCGATATTTGCAGTTTGTAATAAGGCTTTAAAATGGGGCTTAAGTCATTGCGAAAGTAAACAGTGCCAGTAGAAACATCAACTTGAAATATGCCCTCACCGCCTGATTCCAAAGTGTAGCTAATTAGAGAATTATCCTCGTCAGCGTCAGAATCAACTGCTGTAACATTTAGCAATACGGTTTGAAATGAAGACCTGTCAAACTCAGCAGTATCGCTTAGACTGTGAAAGTAGTGCCTAGGATAGAAAGCAGGGCTGTTATCGTTTACATCTATGATACTTAGGTGTATGGTAGACGTGGCCGATTGCTGAGCTGGTGTTCCATGGTCGCGGGCTATTACGAATATCTCATAGAATGGTATTTTTTCGCGGTCTAGTGACGTGCGTGTTGTTAATTGTCCGGTTATAGCATCAATAGCAAATTGGTGTGGGTACATACGTTCAACGCTTTGGGATAATGCAAAAGATACCGATCCATTTGCGCCCTGATCATTATCAGTGGCAGTCAATATTGTAATAATCGTCAGTGGCTCCACATCCTCGCTAAGACTTATGTTTAGCTGATTCTGGGAAAAGCGCGGAGCTTCGTCATTTTCGTCTAATATAGTAACCTTCAGCTGCGTATAGGCATATTTAGGATTAGGACCGCCATCTCTTGCCGAAATGCTGAGCTCCACGCTGCCTTGTACTTCGCGATCTAATGGACCGGATGTTACAACAAGACCGGTGTCTTCGTTAATGTTAAACCACTGCAAGTCATTTCCCGATATAATTTCGTAGAAAACCTGAGCATTAACACCCGAATCTTCATCTGTAGCTGTGATCGAGGCTACAAAAGTGCCTGTTGGTGTCAGTTCGCTTAGCACAGCTGAATACTCTGACTTTTCAAATACAGGCTCATGATCGTTTAGGTCGTTTACGTGTATGATCAGATGTGCGGTAGTCGAACGTGATGGCGTTCCTTTGTCAGTGACTATGACAGTTAAGTTGTATTTGCTAATCTCTTCACGGTCAAGCACTCCATTTACGCGAACAATGTGGAACAAAGGTGTTTTTTCCAATCGAAAGTGACCAAGCTCATTACCAGAAACTATTTGAGTGGTCGTTTCGCCGTTGACCCCATCGTCCGAGTCATCGGCGGATACGGCAGCAACTACAGTTCCATTAATGGCGTTCTCATCAACAGTGGCTACACTGCCTGTAGGTGGAAAGTATTGGAAGCGTATAATAGGGTCATGGTCATTTGTATCTAGGAGATTTACTGTCACATATGTCCGACCATCTTGTCGTGGGGAACCATGATCACGCGCAAACACAGTAAATACGCAGCTTTTTTGGCCCTTGCCAATAAAGTCTTGGCTAAGGGGGTTTGTTTGTTGTGGGCATTTGAGGTATTCCGTTGTCGAAATGACTCCTGTTTCTGGATCAACGGTAAATTGGGAGTTTTCCGCTAAGTAGTAGGTCAGTTTACTATTATCGCCTAAATCACTATCTGATGCCATCACTTGAAGAACAGGTGTACCAGGCTTTACAGTTTCATTCAAAGATACACTGTAATCACTATGATCGAAAATTGGCGGATTGTCATTCTGATCCAATATAGTTACATTTACTTGCAGAAACCCGAAGCGTGGGGGCACGCCACCATCACGCGCCGAAATGTTCAGTTGATAATACCCACAAGATTCGCGATCTAAATTGCTTGTGGTCTCCAAGTGTAAATAGGATGTATCGCCACTAGGGTTCGTTGTGGTAATCAAACGAAACTTGTGTTCATAATTGCCGTCAATAATCTCATATACAATTTCTTGCGCTTCCCTGAAATGGAAATATTTAGAATTAATACATGAGAGCTTGTGTCACAAAAGAATTGTAGCGGATTATTTAGAAAGATGGCATTAGGGTTTCTAAAAGCTTCCCATTAGCAGAACCGTCGAAAGGGGGGAAAAGGCGAGACAAATTCCCACCCCGTGCTCATATTCGTCTTGACGGCCATGCTTATTGGTAGCATTTGTTTGTTTAAACTCAAAAAGTTTAAAGTTTAAATATTTTTACCCAAGATCAGCATCTGTAGCGGCATCGAGTAGCAGTCGTGTTCCTGGGGCAGCGCTTTCGGAAAATGATACAGCAATGCTTGGCTCCGGAAATTCTGGCGAATTATCATTAATGTCGAGCACTTTGATATGCACCTCTATGGGATAGGTGGGTTGCGAGGAGAGCACCACCAAGTCATAGTGGTCGCTCCTACCTTCACGATCTAGCACTATATTTGTCTTAATTTCGCCACTAAATTGGTCCAATGTGAATTCGCGTGGTGGTTCGTTAAAGCGATACGTAAACGTCGGTTTAGTGGGCAAAAATCCCACGGTTATCCCACGTGGCTGTCCCTCAAGCACTTCAAATTCAGCACTAGTGTCCACAGCTCGAGACTGCATTTCACCGTTCGTCGCAGAGCTTCGCCGCCTCGGAAAGGCAGCATATTGTTCATAGGTAGTGGCATAGCTTCTACCGCGTGGTATTAGGTCTAGCCTTTTGCTAATGTGTGTTGTTTGGCTAAGCACAAATGTGGCAATGAGCACAAGCAACAGGAGAACCTGCGCGTGCTCCATTCCAGTTTCAAATACTGTTGATCTAACCACGCACAGTGCAGTGTCCTCAATTGCTATGCGAAGAAAGCTCCTGACACTAAACTCACGTTCTGTTTTTATATAATAGTTGCATAGGTAGCATATGCTCTCTTATATTGCTGCTATAAGTATCCGTTGGTTTTAAGTGCACTTCAAAATGCTTCATTTCGTATTATTATCATTTGCAACCATCTGAAATAAACACAAAAATCCATCAATTTTGAATGCTTGAAGCTGTCTTGACTTATACATATTATACCCTTCAGAGCAAAATGGTGAACAATAAAAAAAGGTAAAATCAAATGTGAAATATATAAAAATATAATATAAACTCGTACTTTTTGAGATCCTTGCGTTCATACAGACAAACAGACAGACAGAGAGACGGACAGGCGGACATGGCTATTTCGACTCGGCTTGTCATCCTGATCAAGAATATAGTAGATATACTTTGTGGGGTCTGCATGTACACTCTCACAAAACTAATATGCCCTTTTACCATTTGGGTACAGGGTTTAAAAAATATATATAATACATACATACATACAAAAGTTAAGACATGTTTATGTACAGTCAACAGCAAACATTTACATCATCGTGTCTATGCGTGAATGTATACAATACAGGAACAAGTCAAAGCAGCAACAACAACTGCGGGCAATGCTTGACCATATATACATATATGGCTATAACTTCCTGTTAAATCGGTCTGACATTATGAAACTTAGCATACAGACTTAGTGATAATAACTGGAGGTATTTTTTTATGGAAATCACAAATTGGAGAGGGTGGTGGAGGGGAATTCCAAAAAACACATTTTCTGCGTATTCACATAAGGCATCTGGGATTAACATTTTGTGTCCTTAGCTCTCATAGTCTCTGAGATATGAGCGATTATACGAATGGAAAATCGAGCAATACCCCAATCGGGGGTTGGGGGAATTAACAAAAAAAAAAAAAAAAAAAAAACGCACAGTGTACTAACATAAGGCACATTTGTGCAAAATTTGGTATCTCTAGTTCTTATAGTTTCTAAGATCCAAGTGTTTATACGGACAGACGGACAATCGGACAGACAGACAGACAAGGCTAAACCGACTCGTTTATCATGCTGATCAAGAATATATACTCTTTGTGGGGTCTGCCACGCCTGTCACAATTTTTACCTCCTCCTAATATACTGCCGTCTGTCCGTATGAACACCAGAGACTATAAGAGCTAGAGATACAAAATTTTGCACAAATGTGCCTTATGTTAGTACGATGTGCAAGGTTGTTTTATTTTTTCGATTCACCAACCCACACCCCTCCGACCATTTGGTGGTTTTCCCGATTTTCCGTTCGTATAATCACTTATATTTCGGAGACTATGGGACCCAGGGACATCACATCCAAGTCCAAGATGCCTTTTGTGAATACGCTGAAAATATTTATTTTAGAATTTCCCTCCCTCACCTCTCTCCTACGCAATCAGTGATCTACCATAATTTTTGGAATGTCGAACTCAAATTTTGCAAATATCCCCAGTTAGTGATTATGTGTCCATATACCAAGTTACGTTATGATAGACCGATTTAACAGGAAGTTATAGCCATAAATAATATTGCTTCCCAAGCGCAGCTGTTGTTGATGCTCGTGCTTTGGTTTAATGCAAACATGCTTACACAGACACGAATAGACACGCATAAACATGCATACACATAGGGGGAATTGCTATATAAATGTGCAGATATACACTCTTTCCGTGAGTTCGAATACCGGGAGAGGTAAAATCGATCTAATTTATTTTATACCCTGTACCCGTAGGGTAGAAAGGGTATATTACGTTTGTGTAAAGTATGTAATATGCAGATGGAAGCATCTCCGACCCCATAATGTATATATATTCTGAATCAGCATGGCAAGAGAAATCGATCTGTCCGTCCTTTTCTTATAGCCTGTACCCAAAGCGTAAAAGGCTATACTAGTTCTGTGCGAATGCTTGTAACAGGCTGAAGGAGGCGTGACAGACCCCACAATGTATATATGTATATTATTGATCAGGATGACAAGCCGAGTCGATATAGCCATGTCCGTCTATCTGTCCGTCTGTCTAGGGCTAGAATAACCAAACTTGGTATTGAGGTTCCCCTAAGTCGTAGGCAAGTCAAGTTTATTTTTATACCCTGTACCCAAAGGGTATTTAGTTTTGTGCGAGTGTACATGGAACACACAGAAGGAGACGTGGCAGACCCCACAAAGTATATATATTGATCAGGATGACAAGCCGAGTCGATATAGCCATGTCCCCCTGTCTGTCTGTCTGTATGAACGCAAGGATCTCAGAAAGTATAAGGGCTAGAATAACCAAACTTGGTATCTAGATTCTCCTGAGCCCGAGAAATGACGAGTTTGTTCATTTTTTCTGATGCACCCCCCACTCTCCCCGTATTCACAATTTTCTATAACTCCCGTAATTCTTTGAATTTTTAAAATTTGGTAGTCACATCTAGTTAATGACTATATATCCGTATACCAAGTTTCATTATGATAGTTTGATTAGAAAGAAAGTTATAGCCATATAACCAGGCCCAAGCTGTATTTGTTGCTGCTTTGACATAATTATGTAATGCACACATACATATGTACAAGTACACAAACACGCATAGACACGATTCTGATGTAAATGTATGTATGGAATATTTTATATTTAATTTCATTAATTAATTAAATTAATTTAATTTTTTTAATAAAGTTTTTTTTGTGGGGTGGTACAGGGTATTTAAGAATTGAGCCTGCTCTTTAGCATTCCTTTCTTGTTTACAGAGTATTTCAAAGTCGGGACACCCGACATTAGGTTTTTACTTGTTTTTAAATAAATATGTTTGCCAGGATTGATTGTGATACGACTACTCTCTACTATATTACTTAGCTGTATTCGTAGCATCTTATTATAGTGTTAATTTAAAGCGGAGAGGTATCGAGTTGACCATAACACAAATCTTTTAATTGTATCATCAAATTTTGAGTACAAAAGTTGGATTGAGATTGCTTATCAAGTAATTTTCTATCATACCTAACCACCCTAAAATATTTGTGGCCTGCGACTTAATGATCATGTAGAATCTTAGTAAAATTTTTAAAAGATACATTGGAATGCACAAAAATATCTGTGTATGTTCGTATATGGAGCACAATCTGTAATATTACGATTTTTTCTATTCACCTTATGCTTAACTGCGGTTGGCTGTATACTCGTACATACATATGTGTAGAGTTGAACGAAAACGAGTTTTCCATTTGCATATTCATTTACATTTATCCGACACCAGTTACAAAAGGCACACAAATACATACGATAGCCATACATACATAGTTACCTCGACAAATCCACAAAAAACAATATTTTCATTCCTTCTTCTTTGACTCTTTTTCCATTCCAAGCAACAATAGGAAAGTATTTGGCTGTTACGTGGCAACCATTACATACGACTTTATTTTGAGTTAAATTTTGTATTGATTGATAAATATGTTGCGTGGTATTTAAACCGGAATAATAAATACAGCAACGGATTCCTTTTTAAATTTGAAGCAGAATGAATATTTGGGATGGATTCATGTTCAGCTTGACTTTCCTTTAAAAGTGTTTTTCGTGTTATGCTCGCATATAGAAGAATTTACTTAAACACACACCTGGAAAAGCTGTGTTCAAATTGTAGTTATAAATAAGTATATACCATTTACTTATTTTCCTTTTAAAAATTAATAACATTTGGGTTTACAGTAAAGTAAGCCTGTACACTATACATACATAGTTTTGAGAGCGCAGGTAAGATCAGAAACCGCACATTGGCCACATCCACAGTTACATTAAAGCATATTTTTCTTTTTAGCAAAACGTGTTTTGCTTTTTTTGTGCTTGTATTTTACTTTTTTCTTCAGCGTTGTTGATTTTTTTACTTATAAAAAAATGAAATGGCACCGACACATACACACATCTGTATGTATACATATACTTGTATGCAGGTATGTATATGTACACAAACTTGTTGCTACAAGATATTTTACGATCGATTATGCTATATCTTCATTTTGCAGCTTCGCATAAAAACACATCTCTTACAAAATTGATTGGAATTATTTAAAGCAAAAATAAAGGCATCATAATTATGTGGGTACATGTAATCTTAGCCAACAATGCACCTTCACTTTTCACATATGTGTTAATGGCGCGCGTTTTAAACAATTTCCGCCAACAACCACGCGCGGTCTACGGTCGCCTTAAACTGACTAGCAAGAAGGCAGCGAAAACTCTTAACACACAGAGCAATACATAGCTGACCTGATCGGGCTTGGAAAAGCAGTTTGACAAGTTAAGAGATTCAGTGAGCATCTCTCTCGCCGCCATTGCAGTATGCTAAGCACAGCCTTGTTACTTCTTGTTGCCGTTGTAGTCGTTTTTTCTGCTACCCGTACTCTTATTGCTCATTGCTGCCTTTTACCTGTTGCATTGCATGAGCTGCTTTGTTGTTAGATGGTTAGATGGTTAAATGGTAAGATGCGAAGAGGAGAGCTGAAGGATGGAAAACATTTTTCACTTGTTGCAGTTTCGTTTTTCATTTTCTTGTACAAGCTTGTGCTCAGCTCTCTTAGAAGTGGTACGAGTATATTTTGCAGTTGCTTCGTGCTTCAAGCGGCTCAACTATGCAGTTACCTCTTAGACTTCAGTCAGATTGTAGCCCCAGCGTATCGTGTAGTTGTGTGTATACTCGTAAGTTAAGCTGACTAGATTCAATAGCCACCGGCGACTCACACACAACAATAACAATAACAACAGCAACATTAATAAAAATAACTTACCTACTTGTGCTCCCAAGTAGTCGTTCCTGTAGCTGTCGCGTTGAGATCGCGTGCTTTCTCGATCGCAGAGCCAGTGTCTGGAACTCAAGTATTTGGTTCAAGAACATGAAATTCTTATGTGAGTTTCAGCGTTTTGCTCTACC